TATGTATATATAGCCACTGCAGTAAACACAGCAACTGTTTTGAAATAAGATGGGAATATAAAGTTCAACACCACTTAACTGCGTGTTTAAGTGACGTTTTTGCTGAATTGGTGTATATGTATACAATGTACAATATTGGGCGCTTTCACTAAATTCCACTGAAGATTATATGATTAGAGGTTTCAGTGTCAGCTTGAGTGAGTTGGGGTGCCTTTTCAGTTCATTTGATGTTAAAAACTAGAAGTCCTGGTAACTTTGGCACATTGCAGTGTTGTTACATTGTTCTTTTCTTTTGACATTTTTGTACTTGATATGCTCTCAGTCTCAGATGTCTGGATTTTTATTGCTACTGCCTGGCATAAATTTCTTGGGGAACAAATGAGAAATTGACTATTCAACATCAATTTTATTTTTGTGAAAGGTCTCAATATTTCACACAGCTGAGATAGTGACTTCTGCCAAACTTACTATTTTAAATTTCAAAAGGAGTTTTGACCAGTTTTTCCATCATGTAAATTCTGTTAAACGTGCCTCATTCTATGTCACCTTTTTATTATCCCCCACTTTTCATTGTCTTTTTTTGGCACTGGCAGGCCTTATATGACCATGGATCAGAGTGCATTCACCAGACTTGATTTATGAGATTTAATTCATTATTAATGATCTTTTTCTTGTATCCTCACATGGATGAATGTACACAGCACACTTACAGACTGCTTTTAGATTAACACTTCCAGTCCAATTAAAACAATACCGCTATACTGTATTCTGACTGTTGTCTTGACCGTTACAACACATTTAAAACACAGTAACATGACTTGTAAATAAAGTGAGAAATGTGAAATAAGAAAATTTCTATGTTCATGTACCTTTCAGAGTTGGTTTCATTGCATTTAAGCACTGCAACGTTCCTTAGATCACAAATTATTTTGCTCATCTGTAATCATTCTTTGGTTACTTGCACCTATCTATAATCTGCTTCAGTTCTGCAGTCCTTCAAATAAATAATGTAGCAGATGCATCGGTTTGTGTTTTATCGTGCCAAAAATGGTGTATCCAGGCTTTTTTCCTGAAAGCTGAGTTTGTTAACCCAGAAAGAGAGCTGACTTAACCTATATTTGACTCACTAATTCTGTACATCTAACCTGCTTGCAGGCAGGTTTTCTTCAGCAAGCTCTGACTCCTCCCCTTCTTCTGCACCTGAACTAATTGACTCTTGGTTTAATTTTTGCTGATTGCAGATATCAAAGGAAATGGCGGTTTACAATTAATTTGCCAAAGTTTACAACTTTGTAAACTTGTAGTCCTATTTAGATATTAGAGTTGTGTTATGTGTTTACCATGAGGTAATTTATAATTAGTTATTGAATTGAAAGGCGGACATCACTCAGTGAACATGGATTTTTTTTGTTGATTTTTTTTAAAGGCACAGGAGATCTATAAAATCTATAGGTTACATCTTCCTAACACTGTGGGCGAAAGGGTTCCCTAGAAATATTGAAATTGAACTCTGATTGCAAACTGCAACATTTAGTCAGATTCAGTTCCAGCTTTTAGATAAATTTGTTTTTTCACTGTTTGCCAGTTTAAATGTTAAATTAGCTTTACTGACATCAACATAACATTGTGAAGTTTTTTTTCAGGTTTTCTTTCCCAAAATTCAGATGCAAGTGGGTTCAATCAACATCATCATCATGGTTGTTAAACCTGCTTTCTAGAACTAGAAAAAAAACATATTTCTCATATACTGGCTTTTCTTCATTGGCTCCCTGTTAAATCCAGAACTGAATTTTAAAGCCTTCTCATTAAATATGAGGTCCTGAATATCCAGGCCCTTATCTTGCCGTATGCCGTACTATGAGGTCTTTGAGACCTCATAGTACGGCATTACCCCAATAGAGCACTAAGCTCTCAGACTGCAGGTTTGTGGTTCCTAGGGTATTTAAACATAGAATGGGAGGCAGATCCTTCAGATTCTCAGATTTCTTCTGTGGAACCAGCTCCCAGTTTTAATTTGAGTGACAGAAACCCTCTCTACTTTTAATATTAGATTTAAAACTAAGAAATAAAGAAAAAAACATCATTGGGGCTGGATAAGTTGACCCTGAATCCTCACTTAGGCTGTTGGAGACTTCCTTTGAGTGTTCACTTGCCTTTTTTACTCATTGTATTTATATACCACTGTATTTAATCATTAGTTATTATTAATATCTGGCTCTCAGCTGACTGTGTCAGCTGACTTTTTAGGTAAATTTAACTTCATAGCAACAGAAATGTTTTCAGTGATTTCTAATAACAATACATAAAGGACACATGCAAAAGTGCCGGCACAGAACCCCATGGAAATCTATGACTGCCTTTTTTGTCTGATGAAAACTTTGTGTTTGTATGAATAAATTGAAATCAATCAGAAAAATATGATTGCCACTGCAGATCATCAGCCTCCATCTCATCGTATCCCTAGCCACATCTTCTTTTCACACAGACTCTCTTCACCATATTCATGAACCAACCATACTCGTGGTTTCCTTCTGCTTTTTTGTGCCATATTTGGTATAATTTGTCTAATTTCTCCACCATCTTTTCTCCGCACCACCAGCCTTGTAACTCTAATCCTGTCTCCAAAACACTTGAGCTTATATACTAATATACCTATATATACTTACTAATATACTTATATACTATTCAGGTCATTCCTAATTAAAATCTTAACTTCTTCAACTCTGATATCTCCAGCTCCACCTCCTGTCATTTTGCTGATGTCCCCACCTCCAAATTATGCATCATAGCAGGTCTTAATATCTTCCTTTCACTCTTGCTGCTATCCTCCTGTCACAAATCACTCCTGAAACTCATCTCTGCCTGCTTGACCCTGTCCGTACTTTCTTCTTCACCTCTCTTGTGCACTGTCCATTGCTTTGTATTATTGACCCCATCTGTTTAAACTTGTCTACCTTCTCTCCTGCTGTTCCTTGCAACTTCACTGTTTTACCTGCCTCTTTCTCATTCACAAATGTGTATTCCATCTTGCTTCTACCGACTCTCGATTCTGTCTTTGCACTTGCTCCTTACACTCATAACAGATCACAATGTCTGTTAACATGGACACCTTCCTGATCTCATCTGTCAAACTATCTATCACCATGTCAAACAAGATCGGGCTTGGCACCAATCAATGATGTAATCCTAGCCCCACTTTGTACCCATCTGTCTCTTCAACTGCACACCTCACTACTGTTTAGCTCTCCTCATAGACATGATGCACCATCCTGACTTACACTACCAATCAAAAGCTTTAGAACAACCCAATTTCTTTCAGTTATTTATTGCAGTCATTCAAGCCCAATGAATAGCTTGAAATGCTACAGTTACGTTAAGTTAAGTTAAGTGCTGAACTGCCAGAGGTGAAAAAAAGGAAGGGGTTAGCCAAAAACTGAAAAATAATGTACATTTCAGAATTGTACAAAAATGACTTTTTCAAGGAAATATTAGGTCTGCTAGCATGGACCCAAATGCAGATGACAGAGACAGAGTAAAGCTAGCCTTTATTTTGGCCGAAGAAACTACAAACAATAGGCAGCAAGGGAATTAAAAAAAACCTAAACTAGGAAAGCTAAACATAAAATATTACATAAAACCTAGAAACACAGGGCAGAAAAGCAGACAAACTAACAGACAGAGGAGAACAGAGGACTAAATACTGGGGTGCAACAATACTCGTATCGATATTGAACCGTTCGATACAGTGCTTTCGGTTTGGTATGCGTATGTATCGAACAATACAAAATTTTTTTTATTTATTTTATCAACTTTTCTTCTGACGATGCTGTCTGTGTTGAGCGCTCAGTGGATCTGCGTTCGACTACTCTGCCTAGGCTGCACTGTCGAGCGCAGATCCACTGAGCGCAGCGCAAGCTAGCAAGACAGAAGCTAAGCTTGTTGCAACATGGCAACTGCCTCAACGCTACCTGAAAATGAACCTCCCCCACCCTCATTCAGATCTGGCCTTTGGAACTATCTTGGTTTTCATGTGAAGTATGACCCTGATGGTAAACGCGTCATGGACAAAAGAAAAACAGTATGTCGGATGTGCCACGCAATGCTCAATTGGTGGGAACTAGTGCGTTAGCGCAGTTAGCTTGTTAACGTGTTGACGCCGTCCAGCCCCA